AGCGAGAGACGAAAATTATAATCGATTCTCGTTTTAATTGCCCTGTACTGAATCGATCGATAAACGATGTTAATTAACGAGTCGCGCGGTACTTGTTTTGATGGCATCGAGAGATTCAAGCGGTGCTGTCAAAATGTGCGCGTCGCCGCTCGCGTGGCGCAACAGCCGCTTTCGCAAACCGTTTCGTAACACAACCGAGCCGAAAATAGTCGAAAGTTTCTTCATGATTTTTTTGTCCTCGTGTTTGCCAGTTATATCGCACAAATATTTTTTCACGCTGTTACAATCAATTCGTCCAAGCCGAAATGGTCACTTTGTAAATAAATCCACACAAAGGCATTATTTTTTCATCCCCAAAATACCTTTCCTGAATGTGCAATCGCAAAAAATCTTTAATGTGAATACAAATATTAGTAAAAAGAATCAGTTTGATACTCTTAGAATAAGTTTAAAAGAATAAAAAAAGATTTATGTATAAAGTTACAAAATTTGTTTGAATTTAGTTAACTTGCTAAGAGGAAGAAAAAGCCGATCATTTGCATTAAAACGTGAATCAATTTCAAGTAACACTATGCTCTGTTACATCTTCGTGTAAAATTGAACAGTCTCTACATTTTTAACACGGCATTGTTTTGAAATATTAAGTACACGCTGTTAAGTTCCGACTTACATTACACAGAGTGCACCCAGGAGGAATGCACTTTACTTTCTCCCCTAACACATAGCCTTTGCATTACGTACTATACTTGCAGCATCTAGACATTAAATTTTTACTGTCTCTTTCGTTAATACTTCATGATTTTTAGGCGAAATAATGTTAAAATGGCAAAATGTAAATTACACATTGCATGAAAAAAATTGTAGAAGATTTTTTGGAATCAAAGGGAATTTGCTTTATTTTCACATCGCGAAAAGCAAAGACAACATGACGGTATGATTATTGTATATGATATTTGAACGAACACATACAATTTGCATGCATTAAAGAAAAGTTTACCTGTTACAGTAATAGACAAATACTCAAGGAAAAATGCGATATAAAAACCACAATGTCTTTATTGCGAAATAAAAGGAAGCGTTTTTAGTTTTGTCCTTTAATATAAGGAAGTTAATAGGAAAATAAGAAGGTAATAGACGAGTGAATTAACTTATTTGAAGGAAAGTCTGTGGAGATATCGCAGACAAGGTCGGAACGCAGCCTTGGCTTACGTAAGCGGGTCTATTTGTTCGATGCGGCTGCATGGAGTGAGGTTTATTAGCACATACGCGTACATAACGAGTGCAATTGTTAGTTATTTCACACGAGGGTAGAAACGTGAGTTAGATAATGCAGTTTAAACGAACATGCTAAGGAAACAGAAGTGTTCTTTCTTGTTATATTAAAAGTAGCAGTACCGCACTGTCTTTGCTACCTTCGTGTGAAACAAGCATACTGTTTTGTGCGAATACGAATGCAGTCTTTCATCGACTACTTTACAACTTAGTTCGAATACGTTGTCCAAATGGAGACCTTAATTTTCTTGTCCTCTAGTGTACTTATAGCATTTTAACATTGCAACACAATATTGCAACATTGTAGTTGTCTTTTATTGTTATATAGGAATAACAGTAAATACTTGATTATTTATAATCGATATAAAAGTTACTTTAATATATTTAAGTAAATAAATTAACCATCTCGCAAAAGAGACTCATAATTAAACAAGTCGATGTCATTGTACGATGTAAAAACGTGTCTCCAGCCTCCGAGACAATCTTTAAACTCCGAAACATTCTTTTAAACTTGTACTGGAAATGTCCATAACTTGTTCTTTTTATGTTTACAAAGAACTTTCAATTTGTCGGCAAAAATCCAGAGGAGTAATTGACCCGTTTAAAATATATTATAGAGTATTTTTATATTGTTTTTTTTATCCTCTTGAAAAACAACTTGCAACAAACTTGTGTTTACGATTATAGTACCTACTTTAGTTAATACGGAACCAACTACTGATCAAAGTCTCTTCACTGTATAACATACTAGCTTTCTCCCGCGACTCCGTGCGCGTAAAATCAAAAAATAAGATTAAACATAGCCCACTGACAACGGAGCTTTTTAATAGTGCAAGTATATTTGAAATCCGCCCAGTAGTTTTTGAGTTATTCCATTAAAAACTAAACAAAGTTTTCCTCTTTATATATTAGTATAGATGTATAAGAACAAACTCAAATAAGTTTACGAGAACTGCATTAAAACATTCATGGCTCCATCGGTCCCGGAAAGCCGGATATTGAGAGCTCCCTCTAACGGTCGTAAACGGTATCTTGTGTATTTCCGATCTTAACCACGTTGCATTGTCAATTAGCATTCGACAAGCCGTAGTTGAGAGTTCTATATAATCATTTGCTAAAACTACTTAAAAACTAAG